AACGTTGAGCCGGCCACGACAGATCGGGTTTAAAATCGTCTAAAATAAACTTTGGAGTTTGGCTTCCGATGTTAAAAAGCGTTGCACTGTCATAAATAACCAAACTAGTTATTTCGCTTGCATGAAAAGCAATAAAAACTAGGTAAAAAATAAAATAAAAGCACAGTCTAAGCGGAGCGATCAGGAAGGCGTCCGGACGTGGCCGCGCCATTGTAGGATGCCTATATGGTGGTGCCTGAATGGTGTGGACACATATAGACACCATGCAGTGTTAATTTAACACTGGCACATTTGCTGTGTACACAGTAAAAAATCATGAAAACAGTAATTGGAATATTAAGAAAATGAGTAAATGGATAGACTTATTATATAGGCTATTAATAGACTGATGAGCCAAGATATTTTGACTAGAGGTGCACCGGTCCGATATTCGGATTGGTACTGGCGTCGTTCCTCACTTATTTGACGGATCTGGTATCGTCCATATGTGACAGATCCAAGTCCAATACTTACTTATTTAGTTTTCGGCAGTGTGTATAAAGATAGCTCCTATTTCTTGTTAAACTGATTTGTACAATCAATTGCACGACAGCTCCTTCCCATTTTATATACGTGTTTTGTAGCATTCAAGCTTAACGCTAATGCTGCCACTTTAGTCTGTCTGCCACTCAGTGGGTGTGAGCACAGTTATTTCCACCTGCTGTGACATCATGCGCATACCCTTGGCAGCAAGAGAAACGTGAGAACAGCAGATAAGAGGATGACGGTCTGCAAATATTATACACTTTTAATAGCACCCCTCCAAATCATTGAATTGAGTCCCAATATCACTTCCATACACAGCAAATGTGCCAGTGTTAAATTAACACTGCATGGTGTCTATATGGATCCACAACATTTAGTGATACCTTTAACACTTTACAGTGTGCAGTGAGTGTTGTTTTTACAGTATTAATATTTATTAACTCTTATAGTGTTCAATTTACAACCTAGAGTGTTGACAATGTGTCTCTACCCTTTCCCAAATTGCAAGCCCATGTCGGTGGCATACAAGTACAAAATGGGTGAGAGAGGTTATGTGGTAGTTTGGGCGGAGGTTAAAGCTCTCCCCCATCTATGACATCATAAGCAGGAGGTGGGCATATACTTTGATCTGATTGGTCGAGGGGGGTTTGGCTAAATGGTATCATACATGCTTATGCCACGTGTTGCCGATAGGGGGACATATGGTTTGGGGTGTTAATGGTTGCCGTTTAAACTTTAATAGCATAAAAATACATTACATGTATTTTATTAATGTGTTATTTTTAATTACGTTTTAAGGAATAATAAAGTGTATAGCCGGATGCACGTGTGCTAGCGCATACATGTCCTGCAGTGTTCCGTCCATCCGCAGTAGACACGAGCGCCCCGGCGTATTTTAAAAGAAGAAAGCATCAAAATGTTTTAAGCAAGAAAAACTTTAGTGTTATTTTTAAAAAGAAAGAAAGAAAAGCAGGTGGAATTTAAACAAGTACAAACATGCCCAAGCGAAACACCGTATTTTAAACAAATGACACAAGTCCCAAACTTTTAACTAGAGACAATATTTAAGTAGAGGCATACCTGAGCGAAACAAGAGCAAATGCTGAGTTTTAAACAAGCACAAATATTTTAACCAAGTTTTTAAAAGAACCAACAAGTTTAAACAAGAAAAGCTTTTAGCGATATTAACCAGTGTTAGGTTGAAGAAAACATTTAGCCCCGCAGCTCGGCCGTGTGCTACCGGCCTGTTTAAAACTTGCGCGTCAAATGAACGATGGTGGGGGGATCCGGAGCTTGCGCATGCGCACTGACGCAGACACACATTCAAATGGCGACCTAGGGGACCCGAACTTCCGAAGCTTGCTATTGCCCCCATTTTGCTGGAATGTCATAAACCGTGACACCCCCACATCCTGACAGAAAGATGCATTTAGTTGTATTTTGTTAGTTTTATTTTAAACAAGATGCCCCGATTTTATTTAAATACATTTAATAGCTGTAGGAACTAGTGAGCGGTATTTAGCAACATACCATGTTAGAATAATGCATATTATTTTAATATTCCAGAAATCGTTATCTGCGGGTGTGGTACCATCAGATTGGAAGCATGCTAATATAACA